CTCCTCCTCCTCCTCCTCCTCCTCCTCCCTCCTCCTCCTCTCCTCCTCCTCCTCCTCCTCCTCCTCCTCCTCCTCCTCCTCCCCTCCTTCCTCCTCCTCCTCCTCCTCCTCCTCCTCCTCTCCCTCCTCCCCCTCCCCCTCCCCCTCCTCCTCCTCCATCCCCTCCTCCTCCCTCCTCTCTCCTCCTCCTCCTCCTCCTCCTCCTCCTCCTCCCCTCCACCTCCTCCTCCTCCTCCTCCTCCTCCTCCTCCTCCTCCTCCTCCTCCTCTCCTCCTCCTCCTCCTCCTCCTCCTCCTCCTCCTCCTCCTCCTCCCTCCTCCTCCTCCACCTCCTCCTCCTACCTCCTCCTCCTCCTCCTCCTCCTCCTCCTCCTCCCTTATCCTCCTCCTCCTACTCCTCCTCCTCCTTCTCGCTCCTCCTCCTCCTCCTCCTCCTCCTCCTCCTCCTCACTCTCCTCCTTCCTCCTCCGCCTCCTCCCCCTTTCTCCTCCTCCTCCTCCTCCTCCTCTCCTCCTCCTCCTTCTCCTCCTCTCCTCGCTCCTCCTCCTCCTCCTCCTCCTCCTCCTCCTCCCCCTCCTCCTCTCCCCTCGTCCTATCCTCCTCCTCCTCCTCCTCCTCCCTCCTCCTCCTCCTCCCTCCTCCTCCTCCGCCTCCTCCCCCTTTCTCCTCCTCCTCCTCATCCCTCCTCCTACTCCTCTCCTCCTCTCTCCTCCTCTCCTCCTCCTCCTCCTCCTCCTCCTCCTCCTCCTCCTCCTCCTCCTCCTCCTCCTCTCCTCCCTCCTCCTCCTCCTCCCCATCCTCCCCTCCTCCCGCGATCTGCCAGAGGTGCGAACCCGTTCCTTCCACGCCCAGGCGGCGGCAGTGCTCCTCCTCGAGGCGCCGCCCCCCCCGCACGGATCGAGGTCATCCACTCCCGGGGGGTCTGGCCCCACTGGAGCACGGCGGATCCCGCCCTCGATGGAGGGCCCCAGGGACACACTAATGAATAGACACAAATCCCAGGGTTCCCCATACTCTCCGATATTTTCTGGGTTTTCGTCCGCCCCCCTCCCCCATACTTCCCATATTTTCCTGAGAGTCGACGATGAATTGTGACTGTCTATCCGCGGCGGGGCCTTGCAGGCGGGGCCTCGCGCTCCGCCGCCCCCCCTGCCCCCGCAGACTCGCGGGGGAGGGGGCGCTCCTCGCCCGCGGGCCCCCTCGCAACGTCCCCGCGGGGGGGGGCACCGTGGGCCCCGATCCCGCCACGCCGGCCGCCACTGCTCGGGCGCGGAGGAGCGGGCGGCCGCTTGGCCGGCGGCCATGGCGGCCGACGCGGGGGTCCTCGGGGGGGAGCCCCCCCGTCCCAGGGGCGCCCCGCTCGGCGCCTCCGTCGGCTCCTCCGGTGGGGCTGGGGTGAGGTTCCGCCGCGTCCTTCCCCAGCGGGGCGGGGGCGAGCAGACTTCCATCCTCACCTCCCTCCAGACCACCAAAAGGCTTCCCGCCCAGGGGCCTCCGGCGAAGGGGCAGCAGACAAGGAGCCGTAGGGGTCCGAGGACGCTGGCTCCGTCGCGCCCGAGGCGTGGGAGGTCGGGCCGTCCTGACGGGTATCTCAAGGTAGACCGACGACGAAACCCACGGCAGCCCGTGTACGGGGGCCGAAGAGAGTCCTGCCCCTCGGTCCGTGCCAGTGATGAACAAGAAGAGGGCCCCTCCGCATGGCGGGCTGGGGGACGAACTCACGGGAAAACCCCTACGCAAAAGACGGAACCGCTCGAGCCCCAGGGCTGCAGGAGAAAGGGGATGAAGGAGGCAAGGCGGAGGCTGGGGAATCCTATTGCAAAATGCGTGTATTAACCTGATACGATGCAGTGATAGATGCGTGTGCACATACGTGCACATACATATAGCAATAAACGTACATGCACATGCAGATTATCCTTGTCATAAACTTGTATAAAGACGGGGACCCTGGAAAAAGCGCGCGCACACACACATACACACACACACACACACACACACACACATGACCCCAGAAAAAGCGCCCCCCCCCCCCGAATTTGGCCCACCCCGGGCCTCTCGGGCAACCCTCCAGACGACCCAGGGGAATCCCACGAGAGCCCGAAGACGGCCCCGGAGGGCTCCAGGCGTTCCAGCACGCTCCCGAAACGACCCCAGAGAGCCCCAAGACGGTCCACGACGACCCCAAAGAAGCCGTCATACACCCAAAGATCGCTCCGAAACGTCCCAAGAGGCCTCCAAGAGCACTCCCAAGAAGGCCCCAAAAGGCAAAATTCATTGATTTTCTGTCGATTTTTGGTGAATTTGGGGGTTCTCCTCTTTTCGGCTTCCCGACGCGTCAAGACGGCGGTCTTCTAGGCGTCCGAAGCCGCCTGGGAGGCTCGAAAATCGCCCCACGACCATCCGAAAGGGCTTCCAGGCAGTCCTGAAGGGCCCCAAGACGGCACAACAGGGCTCCAAGATGGCCTAAGAGAGCCCCATGACGGCCCAAGATGGCCCCAAAACACCCTCCGAAGCATTCCAAATCGTGACCCGGTCGTTCAGGGAGACCGCGGTTGGAGGCAGGGTGGCCCGAGGAAGCCCCCAGAGGCCCCAGAAGATGCCCACGAGGCCTCCAAAAGGCCTTAAGAAAGCTTGAAAAATTTGTGCGAGGACTCCAGAGGCTCTCCGAGGAGGACCCTCCGCAAAAAAAGCCGAGGATCGGGAGAATACGCAGGGTATGGCGAGAATGAAGGAAAAGCAACATGGAGGAAGGATAATGAACAACATTATTATAACGGCGATGCCGGAAATGGAAACAACAAGTTAGCGCTAAATGGTCGGCTTCCTGCCACTCCGCCTGCATTCCAAACTTCAAGGACCAAGGTGCACGGCCCGAAGCGCCAATGCCGCGATATATATATATATATAATATATATATATATATATATATATATATATTACATACCTGCACATATATATATGTGTGTGTGCGTGTGTGAATGTAAATGTAATGTAATGTAAAATGTAATGTAATGTAATGTATGTAATGTAATGTAATGTAATGTAATGTAATGTAATGTAAAATGTAATGTAATGTAATGTAAAATGTAATGTAATGTAATGTAATCTAATCTAATCTAATCTAATCTAATCTAATGTAATGTAATGTAATGTAATGTAATCTAATCTAATCTAAATGTAATGTAATGTAATGTAATGTAATGTAATGTAATGTAATGTAAATGTAATGTAATGTAATGTAATGTAATGTAATGTAATGTAATGTATGTAATGTAATGTAATGTAATGTATGTATGTATGTATGTATGTATGTATAGTTGTATGTATGTATGTATGTATGTATGTATGTATGAATGTATGTGTGAGTGTTTGAGTATGTGTATGTACATATGTGGTACACACATATGCTCACATATGCATATATACATACACGTACATACGTATAAACGATACATACACCTGTGCATGTGCACACACATGCACACATGCATACGACTGTACATATATCGGTACATCCACAGATACAAATACATATACATACTCACGAGCACAAGCATATGCACATGCAAATACCGACCCAAGCACATATACATACATATGTACATGTACAACTACATACATAAAGGTATGTCTGATCGTATACGTATACAACATGTACATACACACATACACATGCACATACAACGATATGTGCAAGTACTTAAAAATAAGCAAAACCGTAACAATAGACATTGCATGTACACATACATACACATATACATGCACATGTACATATACATAAACATACGCATGTACGTACACATACCTATACACATATAATTACATACACATGCACACATACATCTGAATACGCACATACATAAACATAGACAGACACAGATAAGTATATATGAGCATACGAATATGCATGTACAGATACGTATACATATACACCTACACATACCTATACAAATACAAATACAGAGGCACACAAATATACATATACCCACACGTGCCCATTGACATCTTCATTTGTAAATCCGTATACAGTTACAGAGACACATACACACATATATGTAGATATACATTTGGACTACTACATGACAGAAGTATATACATAAACATATGCATATGTATATACATATACATATACGTATGCATGTACATATACATGCACATGAATGTATATTTATATGTATATATATGTGTGCATACAGAACTCGATATACATGTGTGTATGACCCTCTCCCTGCTTACATGCACACATGTTCTAGCACTCCCTGCAGGAGGTCTTTTTTTACAAAATGAATGCCGAACGTCGGAACATGCCTCATGTGTATGCGTATTCACAGTTAGATGTACGGACGACTCGGATGGTAACGCTCACGTGAGTTTGGCTAAGATGTGAACGTGAATGCGAATGCGGCTTCAGAGGAAGACGTCCTCTTATAAAGAGGTACACATGTAGATGTAGATATGTGCCGATAATATCAGGATGCAACGCCACCATCGCATCTGTCAACTTGCACCACGATCTACCTTCACACATCGACGCAGTGAAAAGACCGCCCCTGCTGCCCTTGCTATCGAATCGGCTGAAACCAACGTCTTGACGCCAGGACCAGAATTTGCTCCAGGAAAGCCTCGTGGGGGTCTCAAGGTCTGACGCCTCCCCCAACTTCCCGCCATGCTCCTCCTCATCATCTGTATATATATACGTGTATATCTATATATACATATATAGATACCCATGAATATCTATATATATATAGATATATATATATATATATATGTTCCTCCAGTTTACCCGCTGTCCCCATCAGATCCAATACCACCATCAGCATCCCCAACACGTCATCATCATGATCATCCTGTACTCCTGTCACCGTGGTACTGAGCAAGCGCAGGTAATCATGATCGCCAGCATCGTCAACAACCGCCACCATCCCTCGCATCACAACCAAGACCCTTGCCATCATCATAGCTGTCGTAGAACCTGTGCCTGCCACCACTACTCACCTCAACTGGCCCCGGACCCGCAGGACCTCCTCGCGCTTGGTGGCGCCCGGCAGCGCCTCCTTGAGGCCAAAGTAGAGGTCCACCTTGGGGGCCGGCTGTATATCCAAGAAGCGACGAGGAGGAGGAGAAGGAGGAGGAGGAGGAGTAGGAGGAGGAGGAGGACGAGGAGGAGGAGATCGAGGGAATGATGCTACCAGGGAGCTGGAAGCACACATGGCTGGAGTCACACGTGGAACACGTGGGAGCCACGCGCTGGATATATACACGTGCGCAAGCCTGGCCGACACGGCCATAGAAATGCCGAGCGCTGAACGAGCCTGCAGCCAGATCTGTATCCTAGCTTTCACCCAGGCTGGCCGCATTCATCATGTGCGCGCAGCTTCCTGGCACCGCAGGGGGGAAAGGTGGAGAAGCAGGATGGGCAGCAGCAGTGGTACTGGGGCAGGGGGCGAGAATTGCAGCGAGGAGCGCGGAAAGGGGGAGCGGGAGTAGCAACAGTTGTGCGGGGGAGTGGGTAGCAACAGCAAGAAGAAGATGAGTAACAGCAGATTCGTTACACGGCGGTGATAACGATAAACAAAATATACACTGCGACGAGACGGAAGGGTAGGCGGATGAGCAGGCAGAAGAGCTACGCGGATGAGACAGGTAATGAGGAGGAACGGAACGATGAAGTGGAGGAAGGGGAAGGTAATAACGAGGAACGGGGAGCGGGAGGAAGGAAAGGAGGAAGCGAATCAGGATCGAGAAACTAATGGCGACGGTGATGATGATGATGATGATGATGATGATGATGATGATGATGATGATGATGATGATGATGATGATGATGATGATGGTGACGCTGATGATGATGGCAAAGATGATGATGGTGACGGTGATGGTGACGATAATGCCGATGACGCTGATAACGCTGACAAAATATATGGCGATAGTGATGCTGATGATGCTGAAGATGACGATGATGATCTCATCATGTGAATTCCTGGGCCAGCACGAGGTCCAGGCAGCGAGATTGCTTGATAAAACCTGGAACTCGGGCCTGCGGGTTGTGACCATCCTCGGCCAATGAAAACAAGTCGAAACTCACCACACGAGCATGAGCACAACCACTGATCTGGCACTCTACGGCTTTGGCCCCCTGAGCAAGCCCCCTTAATGAGACAACACGCTCCAGGGGGGAACATGCTCGGGCCCTCGAATACTAATTTTCAGGCGCCTCCACGCCAGCGCCACTATAATCAAAGAGTCCACTGAATCCAATAAACCCCCGATTCCGAAACGATTATGACATCCGAAATCTCCCGAATTCCCGAAGTGAGAAAGGTCGGAAGGAGCAGGAATAGGAGGAGCGAGAGCGCGGAGAGGGGCGCAGCCTCTCTGCTACCGGCGGAAGGTGTCGGCGCCTTCCGCGGCGGCGGCGCCGGTTCGCGGAGCTACTCCGGATCCAGTGCCACCGCCACTGGCCAGAGAGACTACGGGCGGAAGGACTCCTTCGGAATTTGCGAGGCAGCGCTGAAAAACAAACAACAACAACAACAACAAAAAAACGCTCCTGCTTTTATCCTCGCTACTGGGGCCGGGCCCGATACTCGCCTATGCTCACGCGCTCGGGTTCTCGGGCGCCCGCCGGCTTTCTCGGCGCCCACCTGGGCCCGCAGGGTGCACGACTGGATCCCCACCGCCACGGCGCGCAGCTCTGGGGTCGCGAGCAGCTCGACGCGGCGCGCGTCGCCGCGCCAGCTCGCCCGGCAGAACTTTTTCTGGTCGCGGCCGCAAGCGAAGGCGCGGGCGGCGGGTCGGTAAGTCCGGGGCGCGGTCCTTACTAATTTACAGCGAGCAGCAAACTAGAGCGCGGGGTCAAACCTAAGCTGCCTAAGCCGCCCGGCGGAACGCGAAGGTGCGCCAATTTCACCCGCGCCAGCGCCGCCCGCTCGCCACTCTGCTCACGCTGCTGCGCTTCCTCGAACCGAGCCTCCGACCCCCTTTCATCGCCTCGAGCCGAGTGCGCCCTGTCCGAACAAGTGCCGCAAGAGCGAGGCGGCCCGCGAAGCGACGGCGCAAGCCGGACCGCGGCCTTCGCCGCGTTCACCACCAAGCTGCGATACTCCTCGTCGGATTTGCCTCCCACTGCACTCCTCGCCAAGGCCCTGCCTTTGCCCGCCCCTGGCGCGACGGCTGCCGTCTGGGCGACCTGCCGCCGCATCGCCTCCATCTGAAGGGCCGTCGGGACAGGCGGGAACTGCTGAATCGTCACACGCTGGAAATGGCACAAGGACCTGACGACCGCCCCAGACCACATAATACCTACGAACCTGTTCGCGAGGACGGGAACACGAGTGGCCTCATACTCTCCGAAGGGACATACGACGACGCTGCTAGCGCATGCCCCCAGACCCCCGCCGACGCACTGCCGCCGCGCCGTTTGGGACACCCGCATCGTTTCACGCGTACTTCGACATGGTGACGAATCGAGTCGAGCGGCTGAAAGTTCCGAAACACCGACGACATCGGTTTGAAAATACTGCGATCTTACGAGGTACGAATGTTTGATGGGCACGTCGTTCACGACATATTCGCGCATACTCGCGCACGCGCGAGCGGACGCGCGCAGGCGCGTAGATCGCGATCTTGGCGGAGGAAGAACGCGTTCTCCGGCAAGAACAAATCGAACCGACCTCTTTCTCCAAGCGCCCCACGCACGCGCGAGGCCGGACGCGACCGCGCACGCGCAGGTCGCGACGCAACTATCGAAGACATGGATGGCGGCAGCGACGCGGGCGACCAGTAGACGCGAGCGGCCCGCGAGCTTCCCCGCCGAGGGGGCCGTCAACGCTGCCTGGAGACAAAGGTTTTTTCTGCGGCTCCTGGGCAATCCTCCAGAGCCACTGCAGGCGACGAAAACGCGCGGCGCTTTCCAGCGCGCGCAAAATGAGCCCCTCTGTAACTCGGTCACGAGTCCAAGCGCGCGCCCGCTCAACCCCCCAGCCCCCCCCCCTTTATCTCGCTCACAGCTAGCACCTTGCAGCGCAACTCAAATGCGGGATGGGTCAAACCACTCTAGCACGTCAATTGTTCCGCGCGCCCGCAGTCTAGCCCCCGCCCCCACCCCCACCACGCGCACCTCCTGGTCGCATCGCCCCTCAAACCACACCCTGATCCAGAAGCGCCAAATGGGGCGCACAGAGATGCACAAGGACCATACGTCTTCCTTGGAAGCGCGCGCGTCAGACCAAAACATACAGCACGCCAATCTCGCAGCACGTCGTTTCCCGAGCAGCGCGACCAGAAAGAGCCCACCACGACGCACACACTGTCAGATTGATCGGCGCGCGTCGCCCCTGGGGGGGCCACGCGCGCGCGGAGTTTGCGCGCCGGGGCGACGCCGACAAAAGAGCACGCCGCCCCACGCGCGCAGTCGTCAATCTCTCCGCCTTTTCGCAAGCCCCACCAATCTAGATTGCGCCTCCCACGCAGGTATCTAATGCAGGTTTCTCGGCGCCACTATCTAACGACTGCGCGCCGGCAGTAGAGGTCGCGCGCGAGCATAGAAGATCCCCGCCCATGACATCGCAATAAAATCCCGTCTCAACCTCGTTCTGACCAGGCCCCGCGGCGTCCGTGACCACGGTTTTGAAACCAGCGCCCCGCGCCGCCAGCTCCCCCGCTGCCTGCAGGGCCTGACAATCGCCAGACAAAAGACCGCATCGAATCAAATCACCAGCCAACGTCGCGAACGACACTTCGCCGGTTTCACCTACGGGCCCCCGGACGTTGAAGACCTGCAAGTCGCCCAGCTCCTGAGGTTTCGATCTGGGTCTGTTTTTCCGGCCACGCGCACCTAGACTGCTCGCGCCAACGATCAACCACGCAACCAATAGAACGATGATTAGTATGAACATTACGACGAGACGGCAACGCACAATGGGTATAGTTAGGGTTCCATTCCCTTTGGGTATAGGACAGGCCTCGCTGACATGCCGGATGTTCGGCGCTTCCCGCCTCCGTCGCACCGCCAGGAGAACAGAACAAACAGATTGCACGAAGGGCCCCCCCCGCAGATGTCCCTGGTCAGCGTCAATACTCTCGAGACCATCAGCCAGATATTTCGAGGAATAGGCCAGAAGGGTATTTGCTGACGTGCTTCTGATCACGCGAGGCTCCGCGCCTTTCCCAAGAGGTCCCCAAGAGCTTCGGCGCGTTAACCCAAGAGCTGCTGCAGGCGTCCCACATCCACCCAGCCTGGCACCAGGTCTGTGCCAGCACCCGAAGAAAAAGTTGCATGCCTCTGCGCCTGCACAGCCAACGAATAACGACGCGCATCAACATCACGTGGTATATCTCGTGCAAGGCTGGCGATGTGAAAGGTTGTACATCAGTTCCTCGCAATGCCAGTGAAGCACACATGCCGCCCCCTCCACCTGGACGTCCCATATGATCAATCCACTCTTGGTATGTCGGTGGTTGCGCTGACATCCGAAGGTTTTTGCTCTTCTTTGGGCCGAGTTCGGTACCTGCCAGTCTGCGATTCAGATTCGAGACATCCCTCCACTAACTCCGATTTTCTGCTCCAGCAGGCTTCGCGGCCAAGCTGTCTCGGGCTCTACGAAAGTCTCGCCACCGCAATTCACGAAGGCGCTCAAGTACCTGATTGAGTGCTGCCGCCCAGCGCTCACCGCGTACATCATAAGCCGCGTGATACCGTCGTCGTTGCCACGGCTCAGCTCGTGAAGCGTGCCCTCGGCAATTGAGACAGGGCGGCGGGCGTTGTGGGGCACGCCATAAAGCTCCAGAGCCACCTCGCGAAAACCACGGCGCATCAGATGCCGCGCCTCGCCCACCAAACCACGAAGACAACACGAGCGTACATTATTATGCGCCTACTGCTTTCGTGCCCAAACCTCCAGATCATGTTCAAGTTGCTGTCGGCTGCGCTGTGATTAACCAGCATGCCATGAGTTTGTCGCGGCCCCACCGAAGGGCATGAGCGGCTGGCGACT